TAGGATCTTCTGTGTCAATACAAGGCTTCTACAATGTATGAAATGTGTGGAAGGTCCCATAGTGCTGTAGATTTGAATCCGGGTACACCCCTCAGCTGGATAATTCCTGCATGAACTTTCCTTACAGTTTCTTTGGTAGTTATCGAGCTAAGCATTGAAGGAAGATTTTATCATCTATTTCATTTCAGGATCCAGATACTGCTTAGGGCTTACAGCGTCTTTTACAAATGTTGAATAAAATGTTTAATAAGTTTCATTGTGTATGAAAAAATTGGCAAATCATCTGGCTTTATGTTGTTCTTGATTCAGTTTCCCATGGGATCTGGAACAAAACGTTTACCAATATTATTTCCCTCCCTTAAACTGTGCCAAAATGTAATGTTTGTGAAGTTTTGTAACCTCTTATGATTGTACTGCTATGGAAATGCAAAGTATGTGTTACCAATTCAGAGAGACAGAACACCCTCAGTACTAAAGCTGTGTCTTCATAATTGGTGCCCTTGCCTCTCAGATGCATGTAACAGCCAGACATAACGTTACACTGTGTGTAAGAGTGACTTCATACCATAATTAATTCAGTTTAAAAATCAGATTGCTTTTGATACTTCAATTCCAGCTAACGCATGTTTTTAGTAACCTGAAAAAGTGAAATAAAGTTGCTTTGAAGTTGATTTAAGAGGCATTTTACCTGCTTCACTAGATTTTATATAATAGTTTATAAATTTAAGCTAAGAATATATAGCTGCAGAAAAGAGTTGTGAAAGCTATTTTTCTATAGTTCCTTAGTCAGACTCGGAATTGAGTATATGCTCAGTAACCTCTATTGTGCCTCTAATCTTAATCAACTAAAACAAATACAAAAAGACCACATTCAGTACTGGATGAAGTGAAGTGATGACTACTTTATTTCTTCTATCAGGACTACGAGGAGCACATCGGTATTCATCGTATGATTCAACTGAAATGAATACACTTATCACTGGAAATATGAATTGTTTCATTTTCATCCAGGCATCTAATATCAGTCCAAACTGCAATGGCTTAGGCAACTAAAGCAAAATATACTAGCAGGGACAGTGCCTTTGTCATCTGTTCTTTGCTGTCATCTGTCTTTATCAGCTCACCAAAGGCTGGCTTTGTGGCCCATAGCTTTGCTGTCTAGTAAGTACCTAAGCATAATTCTTCCCTGGTTTAAAGGAGATACATCTACAAGGTAAAGGGAACTCAAGCCCCAAGCATTTTATGATTTACTACTCTGAAAACATTTGTCACTAATAAAAAATACCACTTCCCATGTTTATTTTTCAGAAGCAATTGAAAAAAAATGGTCAAGTGGAAATTTAATAAGGAACAACCAGTAAAAAAGTAGAGTCAAGAAAATAAATGCATTTAAGTGGTGTTTGAGAACCAATCTCTCCTTTAATAAAAAAGCAAGTCTCACTGCAAGTCTGCTTTTGAAATAAGAATTAGTGAGCAAATATCTGTTTGATGGTGTTAACAGCATCTGCCTTGAGTTTTTGATTCAGATCTGCACATTGTGTAATACACCACATCCTCACTGGCTTGCATGGCCTTGCAGCTTCGTACAGCCACAAAAGGGTTCATCCCAAAATGCATGTAAATCTCTGTTGTGTTACAAGAGCATCCCACCCTCCTTCACATGGAAAAGGCAGAGAACTGGAGTCACTGTAGCTCACAGCAGCTGAAGAAAAAGTTTGGAAAAAGGGAGTAGGAGGAGATATGAAGTCATGCCCTGATGGGAGACCTGGCAGGTGAAACACCACCACCGCTTGGTGACACTGGCAGAGTTACCCCTGCAAACATTGTGTGGTTCAACGCTGTTTTGTTTCAGGTGCAGATAAAGACATGATGAGCAACTGCTTAAAAACTCCTAGTTAAAAGCTATTCATGTAAACACAGCATTTTGGTACTTGGGCCATTGCTCAAGGGAAGCAAAATTTACCATCCTGTTAAGGAGATGGTTTTTGAAATGTGAGTCATATTTTCCTGTTGCTTTTCATCTTCCAATGGCTTGTAAAGTGGTCTACTTTTTGAACCTCTACAATGAAACATAGATTCAACAAATAGTTGGACTTGGGAGCCGGGTGGCATGGCTGCTTTACCAAGAAGAAATGTTGAGGGATTTTAAGCACTTGTTTCCTTTCGGGAAGTGCTGTTGTTCTAAAATCAAAACATATCAGTTTCGCCTAATATTTTTGTTGGAAAGCTCCTAAAGTCAGGACAGAAAGTGGATAAAAGTCTTATAATAGCGACATCCCTTAGAAAAGCCAGTAGTCTGATGGTTGGAGTAGTCGGTTAAAAATAGTATTAAAAATAGTAAACCTAACTTTAATCCTTGTCCTGCTTAGTTCCGGGAAGACAAGTAAAAACCAGTAAATGTTGGTCTTCTACATGCCCAGTGATTTCCAGGCTATTACATCACTTGAAGGTAAATGTACTCAATTAAATTTTTTTGATGAAACTGTCATGCCTGCAGCCAAAAATCTCTTTTTGAGGCCAGTTCATTTGATCTCACTGTCAAGACGACAAAAAAAAAAGGGATTTCATCTATTGACATTTAAGTCTGAAAATTGGTGTTGACGTGTGGTGGAGCATCCACTTTGCACTTTTGCATCCACTCATTATATTACCACTTCTGCCATCCTACCTATGTGCTTCTTCTTGCTGGTGTCATTCAGCAAAGCTTTTTCTACCTCTTGTTCTGCCTGAGGGTTCTTCCCATGTCCCAGCCTCTCTCCACCAGTGTTTCGCAGGCATTCTGCCTGCCCTTCTTTTCTTTGCAATCCTCATTTTTGCCCTAGAGTTTTCATTCTTTTTTTTTTTTACCTGAAGCCACCAATCTTCTTTTACATGAAGCCCCAGCCGAACAATTTCATTCCTCCCACCTGCCCGTCCTCTACACTGAATTTCCAAGCGTTTTCCTTTTAAATAACTACAGTTTATGTCTTCACAGATATATGCCACCCGTTTCCAACTGAAATGGGAGCTTGGCACACCTGTAAGAATCCAGGCCTAGTCTCTAATAACCTTGAGGACGGACAATACTTTTTATTAAGACTATGTTCCATACCTAGATTTGGCTTCGGTTCATCCCCTGACCCTCCAGTATCTCTTACGAGTTATTTTAAACAAAGTGAAAAACTAGTCATCTTAAATATTTAACAGTATTTACCAAAATTGTCCAATTCTGCTTAAAACCCTAGAGGTAAATGTGACAGTTCTTATGCTGAAAATCTTAACATCTGTGATCTATGTAGGAAAAATGTATGTGCATAGTTCCATCACTTCAACTCAGTCTGCCTAAACAGGTCAAACTGCTGATCTCAGTCATTATGTATGACAAGTTACACCCACTTACTTGTGTAGAGGCAGATGTGGAAGGACATCCGTTTTCACAGGCTAAAAATGTATGTAACTTAATAACTCTGAATCATTTAAAAGTTATCTAAATCTAAAAGCCAGCCAGTCCTGTTCCCTTGCCTAGCTGTTATTCTGTCAACACAGACTATGCTCTACCTGGCACAGCAATACAGAACGATGATGCAGCTTTGACGCCAGTCCCAGGGTTGCTCTCATCCACCGTATGTTGGTATTCATTTCTCGATGCAGTTTTGGTGTACATGAGCTAAATTCCTAAACCACACTTCTCGTGCCAGGCGTTGAGAGCAGGACTCTCTTTTGCTTTTCTGGCTCATGTAAACTCCAGCAGCAGCAGCACCCACAGGTGTGAGGCCTGTAGATAAGCCAGTGCAATAGCCTTGCACACTAAATCAGTGCAAGTGCTGCTTATCACAGGAATGGGACCTATGAAGGAAGCTCCACAAACCTCTCACACCAGCTGCTGGGTTACCATTAATCCTGGTCCCACAGTTGTACAGTCCCACAGGTATCAGCCACGGCTGTATGATCCCTGCAGGAACCTTTGTTTCTCTACCAGAAATTCCAGTATCAGTCTGTTACAGTTTACAAAATAAAAAAATAAGCAATAAATTAAATAAAGCAATTTATTGCAGTTAAAGGTGTATCTGAATTAATTAATTTATGAGCTGCTTACACCTAAACAAGCAGCTACTTTTTCAGGTACCAGTCTAAGTAGAGTTGATCTTATTCTGGTTGAAAAATTCAGTTACTTAGATTTTGGGAGGAGCATCTAAGCAATGTCATATTGGTTTTATCCTTTGAAAGGTATCCTGGTCTTACAAAGCAGCCCAGCTACTGAGCCCCTGATTTTTAGATTTCCCAGATAGATCTGAAAAGTTGTGGAGCATCACCTCCTTCTGTGCTTTGTTGACAAAGCCTTTGATGTGTGGGAGTCCTTCTAGTAACTCCTGTTAGCTTCCTCATTTATAGTCCAGTGTTTTGGGACTAATTCTGGCATGCCCGCAGAAAAGCTACCAGGCAGGTTTGCCTTGTTTTCATCCCAAGTTAACTTCAGGAAATGTTTCAAGTCTCTTTCTCCTAGTGTTAATGAACTTTGCAGTGTCCCAATAAGTTTCAAACCCCATCCGGGTACTCAGTGGTCTCACCAATTATCAACCGATTGCATACTTTACACAGTGGTGCCATTCCCGTTTTTATTTCACAAACTGGATGTATATTTAACCGGTGTTTCTTCCTTTGGCGTGTACACTGTTAGTTATTTGGGGCTGTGGCGTACAGGCCAGCCCTGTGCCTGACGGGGTGCAGGAAGATGGCTGTCTGAGGGATGGTCGCTTGCCGCAGAGGGGGCAGGCTTACACCGGCCTTTCGCCAAGGACAGCCCCTGGTCGCGCTGAGGCCTACAACCCGGGAAGCCCCCCGGGGCCGGGAAAGGCTCCGGGAAGGGGAAATCAGCCCCAGCTCGGTACGGAGGCCTGCGGAAGGGTGACGAGCTCGCAGGCCCGCCCCTCAGCCTGGCCCTGCGGCGAGACGCCGCAGCAGAGGGCCGGGGTGCCCTCGGGAGGGCCGCGGCGGCTGGGAGGGGAGGTGCCCCGGCTGCCGGGGAGTCCGGCCGGTCCCGTTCGGCTGCCACAGCCGCCTCTCCTTGCGGAGAGACAGGGGAGCTCATGCTGCGGCGACGGGCTGCTGCCGTGAGGGCGGCAGCGTCCCAGGACCAGAGCGGGGAAGAGCCGCCGCTGAGGGGACAGCAGCGCCGGGGACAGACGGGGCACGGGAGCGGCTCTGCGGCAGGGAGGGCAGGGCAGTGCCCGGGGAGGGCCGAGCCCTCCCGGAGCTCAGGCCGCCTCTTCTCTCCCTCCCTGCCCGCCAGCGGAGGGGCAGGCGGCGGCCGGCGGAGCATGCGCGGAGCGGCGGCGGGGCGGGATGGTGGCGGCGGCGGGCTGTGGGAGCAGGTCGGTGTTGAAGGGGAGGAGGGGAGACGGGGCGGGGGTCTCCAGCCACCGAGCGCCGCCCAGCCCGAGCCCCGAGCGGCCCGGCGTGGCCGCAGCCGCCTCCCAATGAGCGCCCCGAGGTGCCGGGGGCGAGAGGCGGCCGCAGGGGCGGTGCGGGCCGGGCAGGGCCGCGGGTCGGGCCCGGCGGGAGGAGGAGGAGATGGGGGTGGAGGTAGCGGTGTCTCTGATGCGGTGTGCTTTGTGCTTCCTCGCCAGGTGTTCTCCCTCTGGTTTCCTATGTCCTATAACCAGGAAGACTTCTTCAAAGAATACCTCAAGATGATGGCGAATATTGTCGTCCTTAACTTGATCATTTGTATTTCCCTGGCGTTCTGGATCGTGTCCATGACGGCAAATACGTACTACGGTGAGTCCAAAGGCCGGGGAGAGGCTGGCCTGGCACGGCGGGGGGCCAGCTGAGCCGCTCGACACCCCCCTGCCCTCCCTTCCTGCCCCTGCAGGCCGGGTTGGCATGGCGGGCTGGAAGAGGCATGTGCACAACCCCTTTCGTCATTTTACTCTGCTCTGGTGGGACCTCAGCTGGAGTACTATGTGCAGATCTGGAGCCTTCAATATAGGAAAGATATGGACCTGATGGAGCAGGTCCAGAGCAGGGCCACGAGGATGATCATGGGGTTGGAGCACCTCTGCTATGAGGACAGGCTGAGGGAGCTGGGGTTGTTCAGCCTGGAGAAGAAGAGGCTCCGGGGAGACCTAATAGCAGCCTTCCAGTACCTGAAGGGAGCCTACAGGAAGGCTGGGGAGAGCCTGTTTACAAAGGCCTGCAGTGACAGGACGAGGGGCAATGGCTTTAAGCTGGAGGGGAGCAGATTTAGACTGGAGATTAGGAGAAAGTTCTTTACTGTGAGGGTGGTGGAGCACTGGAACAGGTTGCCCAGGGAGGTGGTTGAGGCCCCATCCCTGGAGATATTCAAGGTGAGGCTCAATGAGGCCCTGGGCAACCTGGTCTAGTTGGGGGCGTCCCTGCTGACTGCGGGGAGGTCGGACTAGATGACCTTTGGAGGACTAGATGACCTCTTCCGGCCTAGACAATTCAATGATTCTGTGATGGAGCTAAAAACCTCAGCCCTGACAGCAGCTGGTAGTGGTTTAGAAGGCGTTAACAGCCATTGTGCTTTGCTTTGAATCCCGTTGAATTTAAAATGTCACTATTCTTTGTGATTTGTCATCGTAAAAGAAAGCAAATAAGGTAAATTGAAAAACTGAAAAGAAAGATCTTACAGAGGCCTTCCTCTGTTGGGGGAAGTTGTGACAGCACAGGAGGAGTGTGCGAGCCTTCAAAACAGTTTTAAGAGTGCACATGCAGGCTTTGAACAGAGCACGTGAGCAAAATTCCCTGGTCACAGTAGAGAGAAATGGGAAATGGTACAAGAAAAGAGAAATGTACGCATGGAGTCTGGCGTGGGTGTATGCTGTGAGCTGTGTTCTGTTCAGGCAACTCAGGCAGGCTGTGGGTTAGTTGTGTGTAGTTCCAGGGATGCTAGTTGGTCCAGATTTCTGTGGTTTGTCGTTTCAGTTTTAGGACCATTTTTACAGCAATGTGCAAAACTGCCAGTACTGCCTTCAGCATCAGTTCAAGCCTACAAGAGTTTAACTGCTTTCCCAGGACAGGTAGAGACCTGTCCTTAAGACCTCAGCCAGTTTCATGCAGGAAGAACTCCAGGGCCATTGCAGTGTTGCTGTTGCTGCAAATGCCTAGGGATGCAGTATGAACAGCCCCAAGTGCCTAGTGTCACCTTAGATCCAGAAGGAGCTAGAATAAATATCCCAGCAGTTTAAGCTGATTTTTGCAGTGGGAGTTGGATGTCTCTGATCGGTGTTTTTCAGTGCCTTTGGTTTTATTCATCTTGGTACAAGATTAAATCTGTGTTGTTGTGAGATGCCAGACACGTAGAAGGTATGCTGAAGCAGGCTTCAGAACCAGGTCTCATTAGTCTCATTTATAGATAGCCAGGTTGCATTTAAAGACACTTTTGCTTGTGCATGTCTGCTCTCTAAAGATACAACTCTCTGAGTTCTACCTCTAATTAGCTCCAGTCCTTGCTATCTAATATGATTTAGAATTGACAGTGGAGAGGCCTGGTATCAGATGAATCAGGATAGGGACTGATACAAATGAGGAGATTGCAGACAAATCCTCCATTTTTTAGCAAATTATTGTGGAACAAGAAGGACATAAAACTTTTGTGGTCTGTTTGCTTGACACTATGGAAAGACCTTGGCTTAAAGAGGTGAATGAAGCATATAATAGGAAGGGGTTTAATGAAGTGGAAGAGAGAACTTAAATATTTAATTTCAGCCTGTAAAAGTGATGTAATTCAGTCCTTAACCATAAATACAAAAATACTACAAACATACCTTCATTAATTTACAGTTTATAGTAAATTTATAGTTCATAGTAGGGCTTAAGCACCAAGCAGTGACCAAAATTTTGATAAAATGGAAGTGTTAAAGAATCCATAGTAAACCAATTAATGTGTTTTATCTTAGTATTAACTACTTACATTTAGTAGTAATTTAGTACCAATACTTTCTATTTTTTTTCCGCAATAAAATAAAAAATGTCAGTTTAATAATGACCTTAAAAAGATGAAGATTCTGTTTGTGATCAGCAACACCAGACTACAGCACTGGAAATCTTTTCATACGCAGCAGGTGGTGCTTTTCTTTTGAGTTTTTGAGTCAACCCTTGGCTGCAAGACTCCCCTGCACATCTCCTACAGCACTGGGGCTTTTCAGTACACAAAAGAGAAGTTTTTGTTTTGTGAATCTTTGTGCTTGCAATGACAAGTGTTTTACTGTGAAATATGCTTGTCCTGCATTGCACCAGGGATCCTGTATATCTGCAAAGCTCTCCTTACTGCTGACACACAAGTTCTTGTTGAAAACTGTCATGTTTAGCTTTCCAGCAAGAGAAGCTGCTGTGCCTGTGTGAAATCTTGCTTCTGTAAGATTGAGACCCACTTTAATGCTAGACTTGTGACGTCTTATATTTATTAACTGCATTTATTTCAGTAAGTGTTCTGGAATTTTAGAAGGAAACAAATATGTTTAGGCCATTGATAATAAATTGTCTCCATACAATTAAGTTGCTGTGGACACTAGTGATTTATGGAATGGTGTGGAATTATGACACCTAAGTGGGATATTGTTTTCCTGTTCTGCAAGCTTGTTTAAATTCAGACCATAGTGACTTGACTGACTAAGCAAAGGGAACAAACTGGAAACTCAAGAAAAAGCTTTTTTGAAGGCACTGTAGATACCTTGATGAGAAAATAGCTTGATTTTTTGTTTTCAGTTTTGTTTGTAAAAGTAAACCATTGGTAGTTTTGAAAACCAGCATTTTTTTGTTTGGGAGTATTTCAAGTGGTCTGTCTTGGGAGTTGAAATTTGTCAGTGAAGAATTTAATTAAAAACAATCCTTTCTTGCAAAAAGTTTTGGATTTGACTAATTTCCAGTTAAAGTGTTCTGAATTGGGTTTATTTTCTGTGTAACAAGGATAACAGGTAAGCCATTTGTGCTTAGATGTTAATACTAGACCTGAATTGGCTTATTTCTCCTCAGTTCAGTATACTTTTCAAATACAGAAGCTTTGATTAAGTAGAATCATTTCTATATGAAAAGAAGGAATTGATAGAATTAAACCATTCAATATATTGCAATTGGTAGCTCTGCGAGAAAACTGATAAGCTACAATCAAATATTAGAATAGCTGTGACACGGGAAGTTCAGTTTGATTAAATGAAATTAACCAGTAAATGAAGAGGAGGCCAAGAGCTTTCTTGGTAATTTTGCCACCTCTAGATTCCCAGGTATTGCTCACTTAGCAAATACGTAAACCTAAAATCCATACTCAAGTGAAATCACAAGGCAGGACTTGAGCAGTGTGGCAATTCTGCTGCAGAGAACTGCTGTCAGAGAACAAATATCTGTGGAAAAGGATTCCCCCACTACGTGAGGCACATTAACTTGTAGAAAAAGAAAGGTATCTCCTAGCTTAAATATCTGTCTTAATTCTATGCTGAATATACCATGCCAAAAAGAAAATAATTTCTTATGCAAACATGTTGTGCAAGCTAAAATAAATTCTCTTTTCCCTAAATCTGTTTGATTGTGGTGTTCTAGATAAAAATGCGAAAAAATAACAGGGAGGACAGTGGGACATAGAAGCGGAAAAGGATTAGTCTAGAGAATCCTCAGAGGAGAGTAAAATTCTGGGAGTAAATCCATATTGTAAGACATGAAATTGTTGGATGCAGCTTGCTTTTCAGCGTGTCTCTGCAATGCTCCAGACCAAAGCGTGCAGTTAGTTGTCTATACTGCTGCCAGGTTGGGAAGAGGCTGTGCAGTGGAGAGGGACTATGCAAAGCAAAGAGTAAGTCTAAATCATCTCTGGTCTCAGCTAAGCCAAATTTTCTCTAGAAACAGACAGAACAAGAAGAACTGCATTAGATAACTCCAGGCTCACTCGAGGACAAATACTCAGGTGGAAACCAGACTATACAACACCTGAGCAGTATGTCACATAGCTACCTTTTCTTAAATACAAAATTTATAGTATATATTGTTCTTTATTGAAAAATATGTTTGGGGGAACGCAATGACTTGCTGAAATAAGCTTATTTTTTTAAGTGTTCCTTGTTTCCTTTGCATGTTTGCAGGACTAGCCTTTTTGGTGAAAAATTTAGGGTTAATAAAATCATAGTAACATCCATTGTAAAGGCAGTGGATGTGTTCTCACGTCCTGAGGGATGTAAATTCTACCTGTAGAGGAGATGTGCTCCTGTGGTGGAGAGAGAGACACAAAAGCTTGGTTACCATGGGAAAAGGTGATGAGATAGTGATGCAAGAAAAGATGATGAGAAGAACAGAGCAGCAGGGCAAATACATACTTTTTACACCAAAGCTGTCTGTAATTAATGTACTGCGTGACTGAAGAGGCCAGTAGCTTGGTTAAATACAGGCAAGGTAAGCAGGAGGGGAATTACACCATCCAAGTTACTTACTATATTCTCATCTATTTTGGAAGTGACATGCTTTTCACTCTGTCAAAAAATCAATAGATTGATAGAAGTTGAAAAGTCATAGTTGCAAAATCACAGTGTCTCTCTGCTGTGAGTACTGTGTGCACTTTCAGAATGACCACAGCACAATTAGAAAGGAATGCAGCAAGGATGGTCAGAGCAGGTAACAGGATCCATTTGAAGAGGACTTAAATAGGTAAAGATGTTTTATCATAGAAAGGGGACATTTATATAGGTCATGAATGGCAGGAGGAATGTGAATAGGAAATCGTTATTCAGTTGGTCATAAAATTTAGCAGATGTCCAATGAAACTAGAAGCAGCAGGATCTTTGTTGTTTGGCTTTTTGAAAGGCTGTTTTCAGTGCATCTAAAACCAGAATTCAGTTCTGTGGCTGGTTGTGGAGATGAAAAGAAAATTTAGAAAGTCAATTGGGCAAATATATGAGGGATCTTAGGAATACTGACATAAAAGTTCCCAATAAAACAGGGAAGATCAGTCTTTATGTGTTCCTTATACTCTTTGCTTGCACATGTGTAGCTCACCACTGCCAGGTGGGATTCTGAGTCAGATGTTTGGCTTGATCCAGTTTGGAAGTTCCTGTATTTTCAATCCAGTATAGTGTGGAGACAATCAGAACATTTTGGATACCAACAAAAGAAGAATATTTCTTTTTTAGAACTGTAAAAGAAGACCAAGCATCTAAACTTCCTTTCTTGCCTCAATATTAATTATCAGTGATGCTGTGATTAAACTGATGAATTGCTCAGAGACATGCAGAAAGACAGAATCAGTGTATAAAATAAATATATATATGACTGCAGGACTTCCTGCTAGTTTATTAGATGACATCAAGTATCACTGTAGCTCAACTAAGCACTTAGATATATTACAGAATATGTAAGTTTTCCAGACTAGAATAAAAGGGATATGGTAGTAATATTAAAGCTATAAAAACACGGCCATCAGCTAGCTTCTGTGCATGCTGACATCTTCTCTCCACGTAGACATGAAACTACTTCTTAAGTCTTCTGTCAGCCAAGTATCAGGAGTCCCTCTATTAACATAATGTAAAATTCTGGTGGATGGCGTAGACAACAAAGTGACAATATTAGGCACATCCTAGGAGTAATTCAGAATACATAGACGATGAAAAAAGGCATGAAAAAATTGCTTGCTTTTCATAGCCAAGAGCTAGCAAGCTAAAGCTTTTAATAAACAAGGATGACTTTTCTTAAAAACACGTGGTATTTGGATGGCTTGAAGACAAGGTAAAGCTTCCAATATACTGTACTAATTTTCCTTCTACTACAGTGCTAAAAAGCATTAATTAACATAGACAGTTTTGTTCATTCCTTTTATTGTTGCCATCTTTTCTGAAACTTCATCAAAAAAGAGTCATAATAATAATAATAAAAAGATCAACCTATGGTTGGAGAAGATTAGTCATAATTGGATCTATGAGGGAAGCTCTTGCACTAATTTATTTACTTGACATTGTTTGCAGTCTCTTTACATGAGGAATGCTAACGTTTTGGGAACTGGAATTTTAGTTTGAATTTTATTCATATTTGAAACTGAATTCTATGTAACTTATTGTGGCTGTATGATGGTGGTTTTTCTCTAAAATCTGAACTTACCTGTTCTATCCAAATCAGGTTTCAGATGGCCTTAACATTTTTCATGATAACTTTTGGACTTTATAAGTCTCTTTTAGAGTGGAAAATATTGCCATGTTCATTTCTTGTCACATTTGCTATTTTTTTAGTAATTGATTTTAACTCATGTAATGTATTTTCTTTTTTTTTTTTTCTGTGAAAGCTGATAGCAAAACTGAGTAGATAATTGCAGATATTTTGGTCTTCCATTCATAAAAATATTTTTTTCTGGAGCGTAAAAAGTTTTAATCTCTATTAAGATCAGATTTTAAATGTATACTAGACCACAATGACTTTTCAGATAGAAAGGCATTAAAAAGGCTTATAAGGATCATTGGTAACCCTTTTATTTGATTTATCAGGTAGTTTACAACCCATTTCTCCATGGCGCTGGCTTTTTTCAGTCTTGATTCCACTGGTGATTGCTACACAGGGTTTAAAGAAGAAGAGTCTTGATCACAGTGGTGCATTGGGAGGTATGTTCTTTCTGAGACTATTAAGATAATCATTTAGTAAACTAAATTAAGGTAGTTTTTGTTGAACATAATATTCTTTTAAGATTTTGCTACCTAGTTCTATTACAAGAAAAGTATAAATGTAAGCATACATACCTTGAATTCATACTTTTATTTCTCATGCCTGTTTGAACAGTCAAATTAATTTTTGCTGCTGTTTGTAATTCATGGGATTACTATTACTAATATTCATGTGATTACTACTAATTAGATCTATATAAACCTAGAAGAGTCTTTTAAACTTCAGTATAGTATGCAGTTAAATCGCGTGTTTTGGAATTCACATAGAGATAAAGAAATGGCAGAGGTGGTGGTAAATACCATAAAACTGAGCCATGTCAGCAGCCTCACCTGCCTGGTAGGAAACCAGTAAAGATAATGTGGTTCTCCTTTCTGTGACATGAGCAGCTCTAGGCAATTTTTGGCCTCCCAAAAATAAGAAGAAAATTAAATCTGCACTTCACTTCAAGCAAATGACCGTTTCAACAGAGTTTTTCTTGACCATGTGAGAAAAGCCCCAGTGAAGTGTACAGTAGCATTTGTTGAAATGTGATGCAAGTTTTCTGGGGGAGGTGACTCACCCTTATCCTGTGACATTGTCTGAATTGATGGTCAATGGAAAGAAATTTGACCTCAAATCTTTTCCTCCCACGTCACTTATTTTGCAAATCTTGTTCTTTCTGTGTGTTAAGGGGAGCACTGTCTAAATTAAAAAAAAAAAACAACCATCTTTTCTCTTCTGCTGTGTTTTTACCTCTTAACACAACAGCTCTGGTAGCTACCTTATATTGGCATTCGCTTTAAGTGCAGCCAAGTTCTTTTCAGTCGGGAAGAATTGTAATCTCATGGTGGGCAATGAGAATTAGACCTTCTTTGTGAAGGAGGAGACAAAAAAGCAGCACATCCAGGAGCTCAAATACTTAAGAAAATTACAAAAAGAAAAAGATGGCGTAAAAATTAGAAGCAGAAAAAGGAAATGAATAACAGAAGGGAAAAGTAGTGTCTGTTAAGATATAGAGCAGGGTTATCCATGTTATCTAGAGACCCTGGAGGAAGGATAACTGAAGATAAACTTGCTGATAGAGACACAGTCACAGCTGTATATATGCCTCTTAAAAAATAACCATATTCTTCAGGCAGAGTATTTAAATTCCAATTATATATCCTTTGGCTGCTTTTATTATAGCTCTGTCTTCTATTTTTGCATAGCATTACTGATTTGTGGCGAGGGAAGGTTGTAAAGATCACACACTTTAGCAGGAGAAATAAAATTAGCAATTTAGCAATGAAATTTAAGAGAATATCATAAAGATAACTGATTTTTTTTCAGACAGGGTATTTCTGGAATTCTTACACAGGTATTGGGTGCTTCAGTAATTCTTCTGTTGCATGATTGTCTTCAGTTTATCCTGAAGATATTCTTCATATTCAAGAGATTAAAAATACTTAATTGCTTTGCAAAGCAGGGATTGTTACTTGAAGGAATTTTATGTGCCTTTTTTCTCCATAGGACTGGTGGTTGGATTTATCCTTACAGTTGCAAATTACAGTTTCTTCACGTCCTTGTTTGTATTTTTTGTTACTTCTTCAAAACTTACTAAATGGAAAAAAGATATAAAGAAGCAAATAGATTCAGAGTACAGAGAAGGTAAGCCATAACATTTTAGTTCTTTCAGATCCCTTGTGGAGAATAACTACTTCATATTCCTCTTTCTTTCAAAGGGTCAGATGAGACATAACATCCAGAGTAGGGAACACTTTTGTCATGCCTCCCCTCCACCCCCATCCCTATGATCCCAAGCAACTTTGCTTTTGCTTCTGTTTTATTTAATAAATGGCTATCTCGTTTCTGTTTTGAAAGCGTGTCTTTTTAAATTTAAACTTTATAAGTGTGTGGTTTTGCTTTTGTCTTGTGCTATTGCCTGTCAAGGTATTTTGCCTGAAAATACTAAAATGTGGCTTTTGTCACTTTAGGTGGACAGAGGAATTGGGTGCAAGTATTCTGTAACGGTGGTGTTCCTACTGAGCTGGCTCTCTTATATATGATCGAAAATGGACCGGGCGAAATTCCTATCGACTTTTCAAAGCAATACACAGCATCATGGATGTGCTTATCCCTTCTGGGAGCTTTGGCATGCTCTGCTGGTGATACGTGGGCTTCAGAGATTGGTAGTGTTATGAGCAAAAGCAAGCCAAGGTTGATAACAACCTGGGAAAAGGTTCCAGTAGGTAAGGTGTTGCCTGTTCTACATGTTCTTAATATTTTGCTGATCTGTTTCTGTTCGAATGATGCGTCCAACTTGAAAATTTCCAAAAAAGCCCTAGAAAAACAAACATCAGAAATTTGGGATTAGAAAATGTTAGCAGGAATGCATTCTCTGAAATATATTCAGTTGTGTTTCTGCTGCATCTCATTGGCGAGATGCACCGACATAGCATCCAGGGAGCTGAAATCATTCTTAGTGAATGCTGTCACTTGTTATCTCTGGCACTATTGAAAGTGTTTATGTTGGCAATAATATAGAGAATGCAGTTATCAACTTGAATTTTTCAGACATTAGAATTTTAATCAGTGGAAGAATATTCAATATGCAGTACAGATGCCACAAAAAATTCAATTCTTAACCAAATCACTCATTTCCTTTAACATCTTGCCACAGGTGCATGTTCTAGATCTTGTGGGACAGAATTTAAATGCGTGGACATCGTTATTTCCGTTTTCTAAGTGTTCTTCAGATTTTTATTCAGTGAGCAGCTAAACATCTTCTTTCCTGTGGTTCTTATGGATTTTGTTCTTTCTTTTAAATGTGTTGGTGAAGTCCGTCTTGGTATGCTTCTGAAAGAGGCATTGCTTTAATAGCATGCACACCTCAAGCTCTGTATTTTTTGGAGCAAATCTCTTTTTCTTATCCTGCCTCCTCTCCCTCCACCTTACAGCAGACAAATACCAGGTGACATTGAGAGGTGTGCTATCTGGTTTTATTTAATTTGATGCTAGTGAATATTTCTAGATAACTAGCCTTAGAGACAGGAAAAGTAATAGTAATAGACTGTAATGGTAGAGGTCATGCTTCTCAGCAGCATAATGGAAATTATAAATAAAAGCTGTGGTAGTAGAGCCTTGGGGATGGGGAGGGAAGATCACTATGAACACGGGTTTGATTTCATATAAAACATTTGAACAAATACAAGTGTTTAAGAAAAAGTTTGTAAATCATCTTGGTTTTATTTGACTTAGGTACTAATGGAGCAGTTAGTTTCGTGGGCCTGCTTTCAAGTTTGCTTGGTGGCATGGCAGTAGGTGTAGCCTACTTCATAACACAGCTCATTTTCGTGACTGATCTGGAAATATCTGCTCCACAATGGCCCATTATTGTGTTTGGTGCTGCAGCTGGCTTGCTGGGATCAATTGTGGATTCATATTTGGGAGCTACGATGCAATACAGCGGTAAGATGCTTCTCTCACTATGAACACGGGTTTGATTTCATATAAAACATTTGAACAAATACAAGTGTTTAAGAAAAAGTTTGTAAATCATCTTGGTTTTATTTGACTTAGGTACTAATGGAGCAGTTAGTTTCGTGGGCCTGCTTTCAAGTTTGCTTGGTGGCATGGCAGTAGGTGTAGCCTACTTCATAACACAGCTCATTTTCGTGACTGATCTGGAAATATCTGCTCCACAATGGCCCATTATTGTGTTTGGTGCTGCAGCTGGCTTGCTGGGATCAATTGTGGATTCATATTTGGGAGCTACGATGCAATACAGCGGTAAGATGCTTCTCTTTTTTTTTTTTGTCTCTTTTTTTTTTTTTCCCTCCCTCTCCTAATGTAACCTAAAAATGGACTTGAATCTCAAAAAAGGCTGAGGACATAATTTTTAAATGGAAAAAATACAGAATTAGCAACAGAGAGGACAAAAGGAGCCAAAGTGATGGATGTGATAATGAAAACAAGTGCAAGGGCAGTTGGTCCTCTTCCACATTTTGATTTATTTATGTTGTGTTACTCTCTTGTTGATCACTGAAAGAGACCAGAGATCTCCAACATGTTACCTTGGGAAAAGCTTAATTTTAGCCATTTACTGAGATTAAGTTGTCACTGCAGAAGCTCCATTTCTAACCCTGAAGACTTAGCAATAGTCTTAGCTTTAAGAATTAAATAAGCGGAGTCCCAGGAAAATGTGCACATTTTACATTCATTTTTTTCCACCACTTAAAAAGAGTACCGTTTCCTCATAAGTTACGCTTATCACAAGCTATCTGTGACTTTAAAAAAAAATAAAATGAAAAAAAACATGTTCATTTTTAAAAAGGTTGTTGGCTGGCTGCTTCTAAATAATTTCAGTATTTATTTACTTATTGTCCTTTAAGGATCATTGTTTGTGAAAAAATGCTGTAGGCAACCTTTAGACTAAGCTGTCAATTACCCTTTGTTTAAAAATTGTTTAAGGACCGTATTTGACACTATTCTGTTTAACAGCTGGTTTACAGAGAGAACTTTTAAGTTTTCAGGTTTTGTTGTCAGTATATTTACTTGTTGGAAGTTGAGGTTTGAATGTGCAGGTAAACTGCCTGAGAGATGAAAGTCCTTTAAGTCTGCCATCACAGTGAGAGCTGCAAGCTGTTGTTGAGTTTGGGTTTCCAGCAGTTTTTATGCTCTATTCTTTGTAGCTCCAGGAAAGTCCAAAATATAATGTAATGTTTAATCATTTGAGGAATTTTTAGATACAATATTTCTGTACTAAGGAGGAAACACTTAAGCACTCAGACAATATTTCATGCTCCTAATGAGGCAGATGCATTAAGAGAATTTGGTAAACCTTGCTAATGCACGCCAGCATTTATCAGCGTGTTTCTTCTTCACTTCAGATATTTTTCCATGCTCAGCAACTTCCTCTGCTGGCTGTAGCAGGGACAAATATGCAAGTTCCACAATTTCTTTTACAAATTCCTAAGCCCTGCTGGAGTATGCATACCGTATACATGTTATGCTATGGTATATACGCTGTGACATAGATGCAATAGTGCTGCTTGTGTGCTGCGTCGTGTTAGGTTTTGTGTCCCTCTTTGCTTTAACCCACTTTTCCAATCCCTAATCAATGTGTTCTCATAAGAAATACTCTAATCTCTCTGCAGCATCTTGAAAAACAGTGAGTAAATACGGCTGTGGTAATAAAGAATTGTGTCTTCAGTTTGTGACACCGTTTCTAAGAGAAAGTCCCTCCCCGCCCATGTATTTATTAAGTAAAACTGTGTTTGAATAGATACGCAGAATTAGATTCAAATTCTCCCACGTTATTAGTCTGAAACCAGACCTATTCTGTAAATAACCACACTAATGGAAAGACTTACTGTTGCTCTTCCTGTTTGTTTATGCACTGAATCCATGCTTTCTGTGCGTTTGAGGTATGTATTTATAAAAAGTTATTCCCAGTTTTTCTCTCAAGAAAACTTAAGGCTTTATAAAACATAGTGAGTGTTAAGAGTTAAACTATCAGGCTTTGAAGTTTGATTTTTGGGTATTTTTTTTTCTGTAGCTCTTTTGCATTATCCAAAGCTAGGTTTAAATGTGTGATTCAAAGGTAACAGTAATACCAGTTACATACCTGCCAAGCGGGTTTGTGGTGTGGGGTTTTTTTAAAGTTTTGTCTGAGGTGCTGAAATTTTTTTTGTAATAAAGCAGCAGCTGAAAATGAAATTTCCATGTTGTGGGTTTTAGCAGATACTCAGATCTACAAAGAAAAATAATGTTAATATAAAATAATACTGATTTGTTTTGGAATGTTTCTTCATGTCAATCTTAAATGTGTGCATGTGCGTGTACCCAGTTATACTTCATTGTAGGGGGAGTTGGCATTAAAATCAAGGGTGCTAGAGTTTAATGGATTTGTCAGCATACAGAATAATGCAGTTGGACACAACATAGGGTAACGGTGTGTGTACAGTAACAGCTAATGAAACAGTGCCAGAGTTCTGATAATACAGAGATAGACCAAGAAATGGCTTAAGTACTAGGAAAGAAAATCCAACAGCTGATAGTGTAAAACTGCTGTGTAAATAGAAATGATAAATTCAACCTCTGTAAGGAGCTTGTTTTCTGTCAGATCAAGTAATAATGTTATTTCCATAATTTTCCCTTGAAAACAAATACATCTTGACAAGGAAATACGTATTGCTGATTAGGTGTTTTTGTTCTGTTCAAAACAGCATCCTTTGCCTTACAATGGCTCTTGGAATAGCTTTTTCCTCTTCTGATACAGATTGTTTCATTCCTTTCTTTGCTATGAAACTACATAAAGAGAGAGAAGCAGACCTGACAGAAGGGTGACTTTATAAAAGAAGTAACTTCTAATGTAAAGTATTGCATTTATATCCCATTCTTTGAAGATAACAGATTAAACACTATAATTTAGTTTAGTCTGTTGGTGCCTTTTCTTAGACGTTTAGCACAATAATGGTAAATTAAATTTCAGAAGTTGTGTACACCACCTTATTAAGTTACTTTTCAGCTTGGTTGACTTTGTAAAAATAAAGTCTTTATCTTTTCTCAGGTTTTGACCGGAATATTGGCATGGTTGTCAACCACCAAACAAAAGACTCCAAGCACATATGTGGAAAACCTATATTAGACAACAACACAGTAAATCTTTTTTCTTCTATAATCATAGCTTTGGTGCTTCCAAGCATGGCATGGTTTTTCTGGCCCAGGCGTTGAAATGGTTTAAGGTTTTCTGCATGTGATCCAGTCTTACTCAAAGACTCCGAAAAGTTTTCTTTGAACTCCCTTGAAGAGAGGGATCTGAAACTTTCAGAGAGCCAAAGGACTTTCCATCTCAGCTTCTGAAGGCTGTAAGCTTCATATGGCAGTTGGCATCTGCCATGGCAAGGAAGGGGTCTTGTCAATATGCTCTTGCTGCTCTTTAAAGGGATGTAGATCATTGCCAAGGGAGGTGAAGCACTTCATTTATCCTCGTGGAGCTGAAAGGTTCTTCCCAGTCCCCAGCATCTGGAAGGGCAAGAAGCTGGAAATAGAAATCTAATCTGCATCAATCAGTGTGATGGAGCATTGCGGCTATTGTCCAAGCCAGACATAAAGTGTGCTGCAGCTTTATGTGGGCAGCGGTGACATGGGTGAAATGGGTGAATTCTGGTATTTACCATAATCTGCGGAATGTAAGGTTTTAGGGAAATCATTGGGGGAGGGGTGGGGGGGTGAGTGAAGAGAGAGGTGAACCTTGTTGCCTATCTGTATCCTGATACTGTCTCCACTTTCCTGAGAATAGGGCTGGTAAAAGTGATGCCCCTACATAATGTTTGAAGTGAAAGACTAAATTTAAAATAAAAACTCAGTAGTTTTTCCAGTAAGAATAATAAATTTGTCTGTGCTTTTTAGACATGTTTATTTCAAAACTAATTATATTTATGAAGATTGTCAATACTGTGGTACTTACTAAATTATATAAAATTAAAGGTTACAGTTGTGAATTCACATTCATCTCTTTAGAAATAGAATAATTTATTTCTGTCAGCATAGAATTGTTCCGTAATGCTTAGCATTCTGAGCAAACGATACTCTTTGGTTCTTTCTCAGCAGTGGAACAGTTTCCAGTTTTGTTTGGGGTTGCTGTCTGGGGATGAATGGCCTCAACCAAAGAAGCTACAGAGGTTATCCTCGTAGTGAATGCGGAAAGTCTCACTTACAAAGTCTTTCAAACTGGGAATTTAACTTCTGGTGCTTGGGATCCTATGTTAAGCAATTCCATGTTCCATCATGAATTTATAAAAGAGGTGGAAGCAATTTAGCCAGCACAGTTTGTATTTAAACCTTAGAGATGCCCTCATAGTAACTGACACTGTCAACATTCAGAAGGTGGAGCCCATACTCTTAACTTATAAAGCTTTTTCTGTTTATCTTTAGAGATTGGTGAGTATTTTGTATTGAGCATCTGATTATTTTTTTTACAAATGTCTTGTGTATGTTGCCTGTTTTAATTCATTTGAATTGTGTATTGTGGCACCTTGTATGCGAGTATTCAAAAATTTTAAAACCTTCCATATTGAGTTTACTCTTTTGAAATCTAGTCTTTATAAATCTGGAATTTATCAGTGGAAGCAGTTTACTGTATTATCCAGTTATAAAGATGAGATTTCAAACTAGTAAAAGCTTCTGAAACGAATGAATTGTGTGGCTGCTGTTTGTCTGTTCCTGTGGCAAGGCACAAAATTATAAAAGGAATATATGCACTAAAACTGTAACAATAAACATTTGAGATTCTTATGCGTTGTTTGAATTTATGCTGCTTCTAAATAAAACTGTATTAGTTGTCTTAATATTTTAGTAATACCATTGTGCCTTCTAGAACTAAGACACAATTTTTGTAAGATACTTTTTCTTTCAATGAAGTGCCTAATTTTTGTATTTTTTTGATTTCTGCAACACAGTATACTTTCAGACTCAGAAGTAGACCTGGTCAGCTTTTCACTGCTATTTAATATGGGACTCATTTTAAAAACAGCTTGCCCTACTGAGAAGACATCTGTGATTTTAAATTCATAGCAGCATGAAACGCTTTGATCTGTTATCATAGGAATGAATGTGATCTGAATGAGCTCCTTGAGTAGGACCTTCAAAGGCCATTATTCAGTTTTTTTTTCTTTGTCATGTCTTAGTGATGATGCTGAGTTGCTTTTGAAATTTGAAATTCCCACTCATAAATCTCCAGTAGTTTGAAAGATCTGAGCACTCTTGAACTCTAAAAACGATGGTGTTAACTCTTGGGTATATTGTGTAGAGTGGGGTATAGCTTATGTGAATTTTTTTACATTTAACTATTTAATAGCTGTAAAACTTTTAGCTTGCTTGGGGGGGAAGGGGAGTAGGGGGATACAAGGAAGAAGTTACAGTATGTGACCAACTGCTTGTAGATTGGTGTGTGTCACTAAGAGCAGTTACTGAGCTCAGGAAGGAGCAGACAGGGATACCACATGCTGCTTGGAGAGGGAGGACATGCAGGAGCTAGGATAAAAACAAGGAAACTGATAGATTAGAAGGTGCAAAATAGGTCAGTGCAGTAAGCAAATTTAATTCCGTTCTTTAAACACTCTAATATTTCTTTTGCTTCAGTACCCTTGATATATGAGGTAACTCTGTCACTGGTGTTCCTGTCATACTGAGGTGGCACCAATATTTCTGGGTACCAAGAGGATACACTTCAGTTGTTTCTTAACTGAAGAGGTTCCTATTGTGAAGTATTGGTCTTCACTCTTGGCTTGAGTTTTAGATGTGTTAGAAGTCCAAGTAAAAGTATGATTATGACATAATTGCATAAGAGAACTCTTTAGCCAGGTCTCACTTAGGTGTCTTGATCCCGAGTGTTGAAGTACACTGGTATCAGACTCACCAATATTCAGGAGTTTTTTTAAATATTTCTATTTCATTGTTACAGCTACATGGACTGTCTGGGGTCTGACCGTGGTGCTGTTGAGTGGTCCCTCATAGCAGCCGTAAACCACAGTTCCCTGGGACAACAAAAGGAGGTGGTATGAAAAACTAAGGGGATGTACCACCTCTTCTGGGTATTAAGAGCTAGCTGATGTTCAGAACACTGACTTTTTCTGACAACAAAAGGCTGAAACACCGTGAAATACTGTTGGTATCTTACAGAACCCGATTTGGGCACTGGATAAATGTGGTGATAGATTGATATTCACATTACAATCTGATAGGGTTGGCCATCTCAGATTTGCAAGCAGGATTTGTTTTCCCCGTGTTTCCCTGCAGGCAGTGCTTTGGCCCCTGCTCAGCCTTTTTAAAAATGTCATTATCTGGCATCTTAAATTGAAGTCACTCGCTCTTCTTCAAGCAGGAGTTAACCTGTTTTACAGCAAGTTTATTCACTTAAAGCTTTGCAGGTACATAATGTTCTCTGCTTCTGGCTGTTACTGTAACTGAATAATAACTCAATTTAAATACTTTTTCTGTTGGGGGGGGGGCAGGATGCAGCTGTCACAGTGACGGGCCTGTTGTAATATGTAAATAAGAGCAGGTACATGGATTCACTCAGACTATGAAGATCCCTGCAGTGCTCCCAAGCCTGCAGCCACCTTCAGTAAATGTTAATGCAAGTCCCAAAAGAAGATGAAATGTGGGAATGTAGAAATAAAGCTGCAGGGCAAGTGGTAGCTTGTACTTGGGTACTCTTGTTGTTGTAAAACTTAAATCAAAGTAATGAAATTCCACTGGGAGAGCATTTATTCAGCAGCTTTTCTGCAACTTTCATGCCCCAGGAGAAAATGGGTCAATTTTAATATCTTGCCACTACAACCATGAACTAAATCATAGACTCATGGAACTGCCCGGGTTGGAAGGGACTTCAAAAGATCATCTGGTCTAACCTTTTGTAAGAAAGGTTAGATTAGCCTAAAATTACATTATCTAGCATCCTGTCCAATTGCATCTTGAAAACCCCTGGTGATGGGGACTCTGCTATGCCCCTAAATGTCAGAGTTTTCCTTGAAACACAAAGGTTGAAATATAAACAGATTTCATAGGATAAGATGAAATAATTAACATTAATAACACTAAAGAAGCAGTATTGATCCTGAACCATATAAAATACATGAGAATTATACTCAAGACAGTTCTATCAGCAGGAAGCTGTGCACTCCCAGCAGTGGACAGCAGACGTTATACACTGTGAGCGGTACGGCTTCAGGAGGAAAAGAAGGGCTCAGGGGTCCAGCACCAGGACAGGAAGTTCTCTGGTCCACCACCATCAATGGAGAGAGAGCACTTTTCAGCAAACATTCTAATTTATATTGAATGTGATGTTCATGATATGAAATAATCCTGTTGGCTAGCGTGGGTCAAGTGCCCGGGTCTTGCTCCTCCTCATCCCTGCACCTGGCCAGGCTCAAAAACACTGAGACCTTGAATCCCACATAGCATAGCTGGCTATAAAGTAAATATTTTCACAAATTCAGACACTAGAGTCTCCTAAAAGTGCAGTTTTCCCCAGCATTAGAAGAGAAGTAAGTCCTGTGTCACTCAAACCAGGACAACAGGAAAGCAGAAGACCATGGTTATGTGAGTTCTGGGAAACCTGCCATGTGACCCACTGATAATATGAACTAGTAATTTCATGCATGTTATCACTTTGAAAATATCTTTAGACTAAATGTACCCTCCTTTAGTAGACCTCCTAGCAGGGTCATTAGCTCTGTGCTGCTCTGGGTTCTGTCGTCTTAGAGCAGAGGCAACTCCTGGTGGTTGACTGCAGAAGAAAAGACTGGGTTTAGCTGAAATGTGGAAGAACCAGTCTGGTCCCTGTTGAGGGAAGGGATTTTGGAAAGGGGAATACTACCAATGCAGAAACAACCACCAGTCTGGGGGGAGCTACCTGGCTGGACTTGCAGAGCCACCTGTAAAGCCCTGTGTAACTTGTTTGCACCTCTCTTGCCTTGTGGCTGCTTTTTTGTGGCTTTGCTCATGCAAGCATAAAACAATTAAACACTGCAACGTGATCACCATCCAAACTGGACTTGGAGGTTCAAACCCACATCACTGGCAAGGACAACAGCAGTTCAAGAGAACATGAACACATTCTGCGGTTAGAGGAAATGTCAGTATAAAGCAAGAAAGCAGTAAGTAAAGTATTCTGGTGTTCCCATGTTATTATCCTTTTATAACTTCGGTAACAAGTTTTGGAAGGACTTTAAAAATGCAGCGCCAGTTGCAAAACTATGAAAGTAGAAGGACATTGTATAAACTCAGAGGTTTTGGGTTGGAAGGGACCTTAAAGATCACCTAGTTCCAACCCCCCTGCCATGGGCAGGGACACCTCCCACTAGACCAGGTTGCTCAAAGCCCCATCCAGCCTGGCCTTGAACCCTTCCAGGGATGGGGCATCCACAGCTTCTCTGGGCAACCTGTTCCACTGTCTCACCACCCTCATAGCGAAAAATTTCATCCTAGTATCTAATCTAAGTCTCCCTTTCAGTTTAAAACCATTACCCCTCATTCTATTGCTCCACTCTGACAAAGAGTCCCTCCCCATCTCTCCTGCAGGCCCCCTTCAGGTGCTGGAAAGCTGCTCTAAGGTCTCCCCGGAGCCTTCTCTTCTCCAGGCTGAACAATCCCAACTCTGTCAGCCTGTCCTCACAGGAGAGGTGCTCCAGCCCTATGATCATCTCTGTGGCCCTCCTTGGGACTGGCTCCAACAGGTCCATGTCTTTCTTAGGTTGGGGGCCCCAGAGCTGGATGCAGTACTCCAGGTGGGGTCTCACGAGAGCAGAATAAAGGGGCAGAATCACCTCCCTCGACCTGCTGGCTACCTTCTTTTGATGCAACCCAGGCTATGGTTGTCCTTCTAGGCTGCAAGCACACGTTGTCAGGTTCAGATAGGTTCGGAGTGGTTTAAAAGATATTTTATTTGGGTTCAGAACTCACCTGAAATAAGAATGTAATCTAGATTTCAAGCTTAGATGCCTTTCCTTTTTCTCTTCTTACCTCTAATAAAGCCAGTTCTTTACTATATAATTTGATTTCTTTCCACAGTGGAAAACAGCTAGTCATCTGTCTTCACTTACTGTTCTGTGTGAGAAACTACCTTCTTTCTTAAGGTATAAAAAACGCCAAGAGGACAGAGGCAAGGATAAACCCATGTGTAGTTTTGAAAATGTTTTGCTCCATTCTTCCTTGCAGATGGTTTTGCAGTAGAGCGCAAGCTCTAGCTTGATTACAGCGTGCTCAAGTTTATTGACTTGTGCTCTTAAGCTCTTAGGCCAACTGTTCTCCTGCCTCCAGCCCTCCATGTGATCGGAGGGACACAGGCCTTGCGTGTGCATGGCTTGAGCGAGCTTGTAAGAGCATTTGGAGTGGGAGAATAAAGTTCAAATTCTCAAAATACACAAGGGCATAATTTCAGTGTTCCCCAACCCAGTCTAATGTATGACTTTTGCCACAAATTTCTTTGTTAGAGAATGTCAGTATTTTCATGGCCAATAGGTTAGCTTTCACTCCTGATATTCGGCACATTAATGTTCATATACAGCACTTAAGCATTGTCCTAAAGAATGAAAGGCGTTAACAGTTAACTGCTGCTGGTATTTGTGCATAGTGTAACAGCAAAATCCTACTAGATTTAATAGGCACTGCCATAAATACTGCTTTTTGACACCCCTAATTTTCAAAAATTAAAACTGTCATGAGCATTCTCTTTGAGGACTAGCCATTTGCAGAAGTTAAAATCCTGCTGTTTTGAAAGCTTTCAAAATATTTTTTTTATATTAA